TAGAAAGCATAATTAAACAGACATTAGAAAGTTTCTTTCAAGAAAAAGAAAAGCAAGACAAACATATGATCAAAAGTCCCAGTTTTAATCCAAGTCCAGAAAGAAGTCCAGAAAGGTCTCAAAGCTCAGGGGAAGATGATGATAATGAAGACCACTTAAATTATCAAGATGCCCAAGATCCATACGAAGATGATTCTGGAATGAGCTTTGATTCAATAGCTCTACATAACTTAGACACGTAAAAGGAAGCGAGATCTCAGTTAGAAAAAAAAATAAGTGCAACAAAGACAAAGAGCAATAATTCGGGAGACAATTGAAAAAGAAGAAGTGACATAAAGAAAAGAAGACGTGACAAAAGGTAGTACTACAAGACAAGCTGAAATTTGAGTGGAAGAAAATAGTCACAAACACTAAAGAAATCCCTGCCTAAGCCATGTGAAGATGGGGCCCAATGAAGTACCCTACAAGGCTAGACAAGAAAGATTTCTGGAAGGGTTTGGAGTCCATTTTGAAATCCGTCTCAAAAATTTAGCTATAAAAAGGGAAAGAAATAAGAAGAGAAGACAACTACAAGAGAAAGAACACTCTCAAGAAAGCCAAGCCACCAAAATCCTCTCCTTCATCACCCACCATCCTCCAAACATCTTGTAATATACCTTGTAAAATATTTCCTTATGTATGCCTTAGCAGTTTCTACCTCGAGTTTGTAAAATAAATAAATCACTATGCTTGTGTGTGCCAGATCTTAATTCCCAAGTCCAGTAAACTTTTTGGGTTTCCCGAAAGGGAAATCTCTCTCCTGTAAACATGTAAGTTACTCATTTTATCTAAATTATGTTTCTGGATATTACCCCTGTTTTACAGTTTTATGTTATTATGTATAGTTTATATTTATTATTCCTCAATTATTAGTAGGTATATATACATACATATAGTATATATATATATATATATATATATATATATATATATACCACTCTTAGTATATGGTTATCTTTCCAATTTCTTAATAACTTTGATGGATTAACCTATAAATTCCTAGGAGAAACCGGTTAAGTTAAACCCAACATTAACGAAAAATGGGTATATATGTTTAACCGTGGCCAGGATGGGGTTAATGAAAAAAGAGTTAAGAAAAGATTAATTCTTTAAAAATTTGAAAAGAAGAGATGAACAGAGTGGAATAATATATAAAAAAAAAAAGTATAGAAGGGGTAATTTCAGGCATAATTTTGATAATACTGTAACGATATAGGTCTACAGAATAAGAGAGAGAGTACCGAGTAGGATTTTACAACATAAGAGTTTAACGTTTTTTTACAGCACTAAATTTACCGTACCAGTAAAATTATTTTACTGAACCAGTAAATATTTCAAAAACAATATTACTGTTAATGCCTATTAATCGTAATAACTATACCCATCCAGAAGGATTTGCTAGAAGCCTTACCTCAAGTCTAGAAGAATTTAAATTAGACATAGATACCGGATTCTACTCTATAATAGACTTAGCTATACATTTTATATATTTACAACAAAATAATAGAATTTGTTCAGATATATATAGAAAACAACTATATCTTATATTTCGAATACTATCATATCATCAGTTTTACTATTTAAGATCATATTATATAAGAAGAACATTATAACTTGAAGGATCAGACATTATCAATTTTTACTTTGTTAGTTTATTCTAGATTGTTATTATAGCTATTTATTATTTTGATTTATATATATATATATATATATATATATATATATATATATATAATGAATTGCTTAACATAAATATAGAATTTGGACTAAAGTTACTGTATTCGACGATAGAATCCGTCCCTTAAACTCTAACTCCGCACATGGGTAAAAGCACTTTAACATGCTCTCGAAAATCAGAATGAGTCATTGATAATCCAGACCTAACAGTTAGATTCGATTCCACCTTACTCAAAATGCTTCTTTTTATCGAGAAATGCATTAGTTTGCTTTAATGTAATGCTTCTCAATGAAGAAAAGATTTGTACTCTGCTGACACAAAACGAATAAAAAAATTGGACTAGTGAATTAAATTTTGATGAATTTCATACTGGCGGAAAAAATGTATTTATTAAATTAATCTTAATTAATTATTACCTTGACACATTGAAATATGTAAATAAGGGTAAATTTTAAAAAAATAAAAGAAATTCCTTCTTGATAATTATGTAAATTGACACTTATTTTGGACGAAAATAAAAAGGTAAAATTATCACTTATTGTGGACCGGAGGGAGTACGTCTTAATTAAGTTTAAGAACTTGACATAGATTGATTTATATTCAGTTTATAAGATTTGTATTTTTTTCAAAGTACAACTAAAAGCCGCTAGATTAAAGAAACAAATAGCGGATGGTGTTCAAGCATTTTTTTTTTTTTTTTTTATAATTTTTTGCAGGAAATAGTTTATGACCCAAGCAACAGAAGAAAGATGTTATATCCTATTCAAGTTTTAAGTTTAAGAAACTGACGAAGTAGAAAAAGTATTTACACAACCATGTCACGAAATTGCAAATAACTTTATTTTTGATACTATTGATTGGTAACATAAAATAAATTGTAAATAATCTGTTATGTATTTGTACACAGATGATATAAAAGTTTCATTACTTTATCAATTTATACTCCCTCCGTTCCAGTTTATGTGAACCTATTTTCTTTTTGGTACGTGCCAAAAAGAATGAACCCTTTCTAAATTTGGAAACAATTTAGCTTAAACTTCTAATTCTACCCTTAATGAGAAGCTTTTATAACCACACAAATACTCTGGACCCCATTTTAACTTGTTTAGGACCACAAATTCCAAAAGTCTTCATTTTTTCTTAAACACCGTGCCCAGTCAAACAGGTTTACATAAATTGGAACGGATGGAGTATAACTTAAATCATAGTCTTCGATAACTAAGTCTAAGGAACAAAAGCACTACCAATCTACCATGAGATGAAAGCTTATATAAGGTGTCCAAAGAGTTCAAACTTTTGGTATGACACGTTATATATGTAAATAAATTATTTAGATAATATTAAAATTCGTAGAAAATAAATACAAAGTTGTCATTAAAAGATAGAAAGACTGTCAATTTTTTGATAGTAAAATTATTTTAGAATCTGAATCTAGTTACAACAAATCGTCAAATTAGTAATATTTTTTTTATAATAAGATCCAAAACAACGAATTGTAAACACATGACTATTACTATTAAATGTTTGTTGCGACTTAAACGCTTTATATCATATAAAATACTACGCTATAAAAAATACATAAAACATGAATCCTCTTTGAAAGCAGTATGAAGTCAATGAACAAAATAAGCATGGCCAAGTAAACATATAACTTGATAATCCCAACTGCAAAAATAAGTTGTCTCTCTTCTATACCAATTGTATACCCAACCCTTTTCCCCTATACTACAAAGATGACAAATTCCTCGAAAATTAAAAAGGAAAACATTTAAAAAAACAAGTAATTCCACTTGCATGAGGACTTCCAATATTGTAACACCCACCCCAAAAACCTAATACATACAAAATAAGATCGTAAAAACTCACTAAAACTGCAAAATGTACCAGAGTTATCCTTCAAAGCAGCTTCATAATTTGTTTTCTTGATAGGAAAAACTTGAGATGACGAGATGAAGATGATCCAAGGTTCGTCTCAGCGCACAATGTAAACTTCGTTGTTCTAAATATGAGAATCCAGCAGAACTCCAGACTCAATGAACCAAACAAAAAGCACTTACCAATTTAGGAAAGATCTTTTTTTCATAAGTTTAAATGATTAAAAAGAACATACTTTTATTTACTTAATTATATTTTTAACATGTCTCTTCATATGCGAATCAAATTCTTTTAATAGGCAAAGCATGTGAAATTTGTTTTCATGATAATGGGCGGCAATGAGACTCAAACCTCCGCTCAGGTACCATGTACCACACATTATCCAAAAGAGTTTTCACATACTTGATCCAGTAAAAAAGATACTCACCACTCGGATGAAGAGACTTGTTGAACATATAATTAAGTAAATAAAAACGTAACCTAAGTTGTTTATGAGATGGTCACACAATAGCTTAAAAGATCTAAGTTAATAACAAAGATGGAGATATATAGTCTAGGAGAAAAATTAAAAATCCAAAAGTTTTTTTTACCTAGATCAGAGAAGAGACTGAATTAGACCCTATATTTGAAGGATCAACATAATCACCAGCCCAAGAAAGAGAAGGATGAGCAGAATTGATCTGATTGTTAGAAATATTATTCCAATCCAACCTGTTTTGGTTCCCACTTTCCATTTTCAACATTATCCCATTTCCACCTTCACCATTAATATAAGGAGACAAATCCTGGAACTTGTTATGGTTTGAAATGAAGTTTTGTTGTTGAAGATTAGAAGCTATAAGGGAGGCCAAATTTGAATTTAAGATGGGGTAATTTGAAAGATGTGAATTAGAGTTAGTAGTAGTCATAACATCTTGGATCTGACCATAAGAAAACCCTAGTTCAAGATTTTCAGTGTTGGAAACCCTAGAATTGAACAATCTTGGAAATTGAATATTAAGATCAGAAGGGTTAGTTGGTAATCCATAAAACAAAGGATTACTATGATGATTTGAGGTAATAGGAGATAAATCATCAATTATTTGAGGTTGATGAAAATTATGGCTAGGATTTGTAGTAGTAATATTTGGTTTCTTGATTTTCTTGTTTTTTCTACAGCCACCTCCAACTGGAACATTTCTTATAGTTCCACCTCTAGTCCAATACCTTTTACAACCTTTGCAAAAGTGTCTTGGCTGAGACAAACTATAATTATTGTAGTAACAAAACTTTGTATTTGATGAATTACAACGAGGACATTTTAGGGGTTGCTGTTGATCTTGGCTTGGTTTCTCCATAACCATACTCTCATTATTCTGCAAAAAAGAGAGGAAATAAACAAGAAAAAAGAAAGAAAACATATCAGTTAATTTGGTCAACTTTTGGTTGAATAAACTGACTGCCATCGGTCGGAATTTGCGACCGACTTCGACCGTTAGTGGCCAACCTTATTCCGGCAGATTAATGTCAATCAAAAATCGGTCGATTTTTCAAGATCTCCAACCCACGTCAGTCGGTATTCTGAACGGTTTTCGGCAGTTTTCTAGTGGTGGGGTGTAGAAAAACTAATGAATATTCTCTTACAAAAGCTAAGAAACAAAAATGGGGTCAAAAGAGATAAAAGGAAAGAACCTGATGTGGCCATATTTCATTAGTAGTGGAAGAGATTTGTACCATCTTTTCACAGTCTCCTACTAACATTATTCTTCTTCTTCTTCTCTCTCAAAGAAAGGAATCCTTTGAAACAAAGAGTAAGCAGACAAAAGGCAGGTTGACGGGTTGAACAAACACTTAAAGAGAGAGAGAAAGAGATATAAAGCAAGAGAATTTGATTTATTATTAATATTATTATTTGTTTCCTAATTTCACGTGAAGGGTTCGGTCTAGAAGAAACGTAGGTCGATTTTTAAAGTATTTAACTGATATATATACGGGGAAAATTTTTTATACTATCAATATAGTTTAATATATATATAATAGTAAATAGTTAGTGGAGTATAATTTTTATCAAGTTATATAGGAGTATCAAATATTGTTTGTCATAAAAATGTACATGTAATTATCGTAGAAGTTTGAATGTTTAAAAATGAACATTTTTACATTATTAGTTCGTAAATCTTAAACTCATTTTTTAGAAAATTGTCAGTGCATAAAAATATTTATACAATCAGATCGTTTATGATGATGTAATTCTCAGTAAAACACTAAATTATGGTAATTAATAACTTGCTAAAAATAATAAATAGCCTATTTTAGAGGGTGTTTGGCTAAGCTTATAAGCTGGTCAAACTGGCTTATAAGCACTTTTTGGCTTATCTACGCGTTTGGTAAAATTAAAAGTGCTTATAAGTTAAGTGCTTATAAGCCAAAAATAAGCCAAAAGCCATAAGTTGGTCTCCCCCAACTTATCAAATTTCAGCTTATAAGCACTTTAAGTTTGACCCAAATATTTACTATTCTATCGCTAAAATACTTCTTTTTAAAACAAAACTATTCGTATACCCAATTCTTCAGCTGCATATTATTAATTTCAGCCACTGCTTATTTTTTAAATGAGTTTCAGCACTTAAAATGCTTATCAGCTACTCTAAATCAGCTAAGCCAAACGAGCTCTTAATACAGTCAAACCTTTTTATAACAGCCTCGTTTGTTACGAATATTTTTGAATGTTATAGCAAAGTATTGTTAGAGAGACAACATATATTATAACATAACATGAAAATTGATTCCGAAAAAGCTTGGCTTTTATAGTGAAGTGTTGTTATATAGGAATGTTGTTATAGAGAGGTCTGACTGTAATTAGTTAACTTATGTTGATCATGTAAAAAAAGAAATAACAATATATACAACATAAATCTTTTAGATAATGTTTGGGAAGTGATTAAAGATTTAAATTTTAAAGTATGGGAGACATTCTTTTAGTGTAATTAGAAGAGGACAGAGGAATAAAGCAGCACATGACAAATGAATCTCGAGACGTTCAAGAAAAAAAGAGAGATATTTTTATAGTTTAATTTAAAGCAGAACCCAACATCAGTACACGTAAGTCGTAACTCTTCATTCCTTTTTTGTTGTTTATATTTAGATGGTCACACACAATCAGACAGACAATGTAAGAGGGAATCCCTAGAGCTACATATCCGAGGCATAAAACATAATACATCAAATCCCACTTACTATTTCTTTATCACAAAATCACTACTCCTATTACTATAAAGTAAACCCTAGATGTAACTATAGTTTAAGTGCAATACACTAAAGGCAGTCCGGTGCACTAAGCTCCCACTGTGCACGAGGTCCGGAGAAGAGTCGGACCATAAGGGTCTATTATACGCAATCTTACCCTGTATTTCTGCAAGAAGCCGTTTCCACGGCTTGAACCCGTGACCTCCTAGTCATATGGCAGCAACTAGTCATATGCAATACACTAAAGGGCAGCCCGGTGGACTAAGCTTTCACTATGCGCGGGGTCCGGAGAAGGGCCGGACCACAAAGGTCTATTGTACGCAATCTTACCCTGCATTTCTGCAAGAAGCTGTTTCCACAGCTTGAACCCGTGACCTCATAATCATATGATAGCAACTTTACCAGTAACTCCAAAATTCCCCTTCTTAAGTGCAATACACTAACGAAATGTAATAAGATAAGTGTGACCTTGTGTACTTATATAAGATAGTTTAATTAGGCAGTAATAAGTAGATGTGCTTTACTTTTACCGTCGTCGAGCGTCATACAGGATAATGAGTCAAGAAAAATGACGATTTAATTAGCTAATTACTTGTTTAATTAGAATAATGATTAGCCAATAAGATAACAAATAAATAAGCTTAGCAAAAAAGATATGCAGGCCCATGTGGTGGCAGCAAGGCTGCAAGGGCGAATAAAGAAGGAAAAAGCAACTAGGCAAATTGTTAAGGGGGAACAAATGGATTTTGTAGTTACCCAAGGGATTTTCTCATTCTCCACACATCCCATGAAATTCTACTCTCTTTGTTTTTTCATTCTGTATTCGGTGATGTGTATATTGAAACTCGATTAAATTTAAATTTGTGTCGAAAAATTTTACATTGAAAGTAATGCATTTTTTTACATTCAAGACTCGAATTCGAAACCTCTAATTAATGACGAAAGAATAACCCTTGTTGGTCCATGAGATTCTACTTTGCAACTCACTCTCTTCTCTTCACCAGATTTGGATCTGATTTTCATTATAATTACTGCATGCCAATGGATTTACTATCCATGTTTTCTTTATAAACCAGTTATATTTTTAATACACGATTATAAAGTAATATTTATAATAGGCACCATTTTATAAGAGATGGTGGCTATTATAACAAAAGAAAAGAAATAAAGGAAGAAAGAGTTGCCTTTGGTCCAATTCTAAGACTCTTTTCTGAAAGTACAAGAGGGGTGAATTGTAGTCTTTTAAATTTCTAGTCGACTATTCCTCAGACCTAGTCGACTAATACGGAACAGCTTGCACAATACTGCTAGTACTTCGATTCAATCAAATACTAATCTCAACAAACAGTAATTGCTTATAATAAAATATGAAAACAGTAAGGTAAACGGCACTAGAAATTTTTGTCACGGCGCGAAATTCCCACATTCGGGACCGTGATGGCGCCTAACATTTCACTTGCTAGGCAAACCAACGTTAGAGAATCATTAAGTCAATTATTATTCAAATTCAATAAATAAAGTCAATTAAACAAAAATTAAATAAAATCGAGTGCGGAATAACATAAAAGCCCAATATCTACTACAATACGGATCTGGATTCACAACTCACGAGCTTCTAGAATTTACTACAAATAGAGTTTAAAAGAAATACAATTGTTTTGAAAGGAAAGAAACGGTGAAATAAAAAAAATAGAAGGGGACTTCAAGGTCTGCGGACGCCAGCAGATCCACCTCGAGTCTCCGAAGCTAGTCCAAGCTGCTCTAGCTCACGGACAACTAGGGTCGATAACAAAATCTGCACAAGAAGTGCAGAGTGTAGTATGAATACAACCGACCCCATGTACTCGTAAGTGCCGAGCCTAACCTCGACGAAGTAGTAACAAGGCTATGACAAGACACCTACATAATAAACCTGTGCAATTAACAGTATATGTACAAGATAACGACAAATAAAAGCTAGACAGGCAATATCGGGAGGGGACATGCTAAGGGAAAACTAGATACGAGAGATACAGCGGAAAATTTCAATAAGAACAATTAAGCACAATGAAGAAAATTTCACGGCATCACCCTTCGTGCTTTTAATCTCAACCTCACATATAAAACAATGATAATGCACGGCATCACCCTTCGTGCTTTTACTCTCACTCACAATATAAATCAAATAGAAACGGCACGACATCACCTTCGTGCATTAACACTCACATACGACACGACATCACCCTTCGTGCATTAACACTAACATACGGCACGACATCACCATTCGTGCATTAACACTCTCCCTTACCACATAACAATGAATAAGTAATAATAGGGAGATAGTATCAACAAGTACAAGCCTTACTTCAACCACGGTTCCACAATACCAATCTCAACTTGGAGTCAATACTCAATTATCACAACAGCCCATAAACACGATAAGAACGATCAATTTAACAAATAACTAGTCTAAGCATGGATAACATGATCAAATGAAGCAATAATTGCAAGAAACAAGTCCCACCCACATGTTTTAACCCGACAACAACGCATAAGTACTCGTCACCTCACATATACATTGTACCCAACATCTAAACATGTAGCAAATAGACAAATAAGTCCTAGTCCCTCAAGTCAAGGTTAACCACGACACTTACCTCGCTCCAAAGGATCAATTCAAAGCTCAACCACGGCTTTGCCTTTCAAACACGCCTGAGCTGAAATCTAACACGTGGGACGGATCGCCGTGATACTTTCGGAGCATGGACACATGGAAAACCGGATGCACCGCTAAAAAACTAGGTGGAAATGCGAGCTTGTAAGTCACCTCACCCACTCTCTGAAGAATCTCAAAAGGCCTGATGTACCTAGGGCTCAACTTGCCCTTCTTTCCGAACCTCATCACACCCTTCATGGGTGAAACCCGGAGCAACACCCGCTCCCCGACCATGCAATATCATGAACTCTACGGTCGGTATAACTCTTCTGCCTGGACTGAGCTGTGCGGAGTCGATCCTGAATAATCTTGACCGTATCCAAGGCACCCTGTACCAAATCTGTACCCAACAACCGAGCCTCCCCCGGCTAGAACCATCCAACTGGCGATCAGCATCGCCTACCGTATAATGCCTCATAGGGAGCCATCTGAATGTTCGACTAGTAGCTGTTGTTATAGGCAAACACCGGCAAGAACTGATCCCAAGAACCTCCAAAGTCTATAACACAAGCGCGGAGCATATCCTCAATATCTAAATAGTGCGCTTGGACTGTCCGTCCGTCCGAGGATGAAATGTTGTGCTCAACTCAACCTGCATGCCCAACTCACGCTGTACTGCCCTCCAGAAGTGCGAGGTGAAATGCGTACCTCGATCAAAAATGATAGACACGGGTACACCGTGAAGACGAACGATCTCGCGGATGTAAATCTCTACCAACCGCTCTGAAGAATAGGTAACTGCCACACGAATGAAATGCACTGACTTGGTCAGCCTGTCCATAATGACCTAAATTGCATCGAACTTCTTCTGAGTCCATGGGAGTCGAACAACGAAATCCATAGTGATACGCTCCCACTTCCACTTAGGAATCTCTAACCTCTAAAGCAAACTACAAGGTCTCT